CAGCAAAAGTTTTCTTAAAAAAGATAAATTTCACCAAAATTAAAACCTTTTTGAGGACTGGGGATGTAGCTCAGTGGTAGAGCACTTGCCTAGTGTGTGCAAAACCCTAGATTTAATCTCAGCACCACACAAAACAAAAAATAAAAACCTTTCGTGCTTTAAAGGACACCATACAGAAAAAAATTTAAAAAGGAACCCATGGAATTGGAGATAATATTTGCAAATCATATATCTGGTATCCAAAGATATATATAAAAACTTACAACTCAATAAGAAAGACAAAACAACTTAATTTTTAAATGGGCAAATAATTTTTTGTTTTTGTACTAAGGATTGAACTCAAGTTTGCTACATCCCAGCCCTATTTTTTTTTTTTAACTTTTATTTTGAGAAAGGTCTCACTAAGCTACTCACACTGGCCTCGAACCTGCAATCCTCCCATCTCAGCCTCCTAAATAACTGCAATTATAGGCTTGTGCCACCATGACTGACTCAAGCAAATGATTCAAATAGACATTTCTCTAAAATACACATGCATATGGCCAATGACCATATGAAAACATGCTCGATATTATTAGTCATTGGAACATGTAAATCAAAACTACAGTGGAATATTACTTTACACCCATTACGATGGCTATAATAAAAAATACAAAAAAATAACAAGTGTTAGCAAGAACACAGAAAAATTGTACTCCTCATTCGTTGCTGGTGAGAATGTAAAATGGTGCAGCCACTGTGAAAAACAGTGTGGTGGTTTCTCAACAAATGAAACAGAATTACCATATAATTCAGCATTTCCACTTCTAGGCATATACCCCAAAGAACTGCAAACAGGGATTCAAACAGCTACTTGTATCCCAGTGTTCATAGCACCATTATTCTCAACAGCCAAAAGGTGGAAGCAACCCTAGGTCCATCAACAAATGAACGGACAGATGCAGTGGTATATCCATGCAAGTTAGCCTTAGAAAGGAAGGAAATTTTGAGACATGTTACAATATAAATGAATCTCAATGACAGATGACCAAGTGAAATGAGCTAATCATAAAAGGCCACATGTTTTGTGATTTCATTTATAATATAAAATATCCTAAGTAGCAAATCCACAAAAATAGTAAGTAGGTTAGTTGTACCCAGGGGTCAGGGAAAGGGAGACTAGGGAGGGACTTCCAATGGATATGGAGTTTCTTTCTTTCTTTTTTTTTTTTTAATAACCAGTAAGTGCCACTTCCCCAGCTGTCTCTCTCTTTTTTTAAATATTTTATTTAGAGACAGAGTCTCACTGAATTGCTTAGGACCTTGCTAAGTTGCTAAGGCTGGCTTTGAACTCTTTCTTTCTTTTTTTTTTTTTTAATTATGGTAACTTTCTTTCTTTTTTTTTTAAGAGAGAGTGAGAGAGAGAGAGAGAGAATTTTTTTTTAATATTTTTTTTTTTAGTTTTGGGCAAACACAACATCTTTTTTTGTATGTGGTGCTGAGGATCGAACCCGGGGCAGCTGCATGCCAGGCGAGCGCGTTACCGCTTGAGCCACATCCCCAGCCCACCTTACTTTCTTTTACCTTTGAGAACAAGTCTACAATGTTAAGCTTCTTCTTTTTTTTTTTAGAGAGAGAGAGAAAATTTTTTTAATATTTATTTTTTAGTTTTCGGCGGACACAACATCTTTGTTTGTATGTGGTGCTGAGGATGGAATCCGGGCCGCACGCATGCCAGGCAAGCGGGCTACCGCTTGAGCCACATCCCCAGCCCTCTTTCTTTCTTTTTTTTTTTCTTCTTCTTTTTTTTTAACATTTATTTCTTAGAAGTAGTTGGACACAAACCTTTATTTTATTTATTTATTTTTATGTGGTGCTGAGTATCGAACCCAGGGCCTCACACGTGCTAGACAAGCGATCGATCTACCTCTGAGCCACAATCCCAGACCTGGGCTTTGAACTCTTGATCCTCCTGTCCCAGCCTCCCAAGCTGTTGGGATTACAGTGCCACTATGCACCACTGTGCCCAGCTTGGAGTCTCTTTCAAGGGTAATGTAAATGTTTTGGAATTAGATAGTGGGGATGGTTGCACAAAAACCACTGAATTGTACACTTTTAGAAAATGGTGAATTTTACATTATATTGATTACATTACATTACAAAGGATAATTTGTGGGCTGGGGTTGTAGTTCAGTGGTAGAGCATTTGTCTAGCATATATGAGGCACTGGGTCCCATTCTCAGTACTCTGTATAAATAAATAAAATAAAGGACCATCAATAATTTAAAAAATATTTTTAAAGAAAAGGTAATTCATGTTAAATAAATCATGCTAAATTTGGAAACAATTATTTCATAAAAGAAGAGAAAGCTTTCCTCACATTCTCACCTGAAGGACATTATGGTGGGAGGAAGGATGGGGTGAGTGTAGCTGGTGTGGGGTGAAGTGTCTTGCTGTGGAAGGCCTGAGGCCAGCTCAGCAGTCGGGCTGACACTGTTAGGAGGCCATTACCATGAGAATGTGAGCAAGATCCTGGCCAAGCCAGGACTTGATTTATAATAAATCTGTCTGTCCAAAAGCAAAGTTACCTGCCTAGTACAGTTGGTAATAGCGAACATTTATCAAATGTTCCTACATGCCAGGTGTCAGATGCCTATGGAGTCCTCTGAACAACCCTCTGAGGTAGTTACCAGCATAATTACTCCCTCATGTAGGTTAGCAACTTACCCAGGCTTCTGATTTGGGATTGATGGTACCTCCATCAATAAGCTGGCCTCCCAAGCTCAGGTCATGACCACCTTTATCAGCACAGACATGAGGTATGTGCTTACCTCCTTGACACTTGGTGAGTTGTGGGCCAGGCACTGGGCCAAGCACTAGGGATGCAGTGGTGACTAATGTAGGGTCCGCCCTCAAGTAATGCACAGAACTGAAGTGGGACGTACAGATGGCTGTTGTTCTCATTGCACAAGAGCGAAAACTGAAGCTTTGAGTGTTTGAGAAGCATTTCTGAATTTTACACATGATAAAGCATGTCCAAGTCTTAGAAGAGTGCCTGACACATAGTAAAATTCAATAACATCAGCTGCTGTTATTATTTCTAAGGTTGCACTAGTCTCAGACCCAGCTCTTCTGCTAGGTGCACTGGTGCACACCTGTAATCCCAGTGACTCAGGAAGCCAAGGCTGCAGGATTTCAAGTTCAAGGCTAGCCTCAGTGACTTAACGAGACCTTAAGCAACTTAGAGAGACCCTGTCTCAAAATAAAAAAATTAAAAAGGCTGGGGGTGTGGCTCTATTCCCAGTAGAAATAAAAAGAATCCAGCTCTCCTGGCTCAAAATCCTACTTTCTTTCAGAGAAGAGCCTGAGCAGGGGGAAGCCCCATTCTGTAGAGGTGAGCCCAGGTTGTGTGGGTCTTGAAGCTTGTACAATCTGAGAGGAGGTCTTTAAGAAATAGAATACGAGTTACAAAATTTACAAAAATATATGACCTCACAAACACATTGCTAGGGTCTCTTGCAAGGTCCCAGAAGGGCCTAACCAAGTCAGAGGCACTGGAGCATCAGCTTCATGAGCTCCATGATCAGCTGCCCCTGCTAGGGTATGTGGAAGATCCGCTGCTGAGTGGTTCACCACCCAGGGGCCACTGAGGTCCTTCTGAGATGGAATTTGTGATTCTGTATCCTATTGTCCATGCAGAAGCACTGCACTTAAACTCAGACAAGCCAGAATCCCACTTTTAGGGTCCTGCCACATCACAAATCAATTAAGGAGCCAGGACACTCAGGATGCAGCATGGCCCTGAACCTAGGTATCTACACTCATGACCAACTGCAGTCAGGCCCCAGGGAAATACTTCTCCACGTCTCTCACTCTGAGTCCCAAAGCAAAAAGAGGCAGAATCCTAATGATAGGAAGGTCTGTGGGTCATGCTCCTGCCAAGTGGGAGACATAGACACTTCTCAGGGTGGAGCACAGGAAGGATTTGAGCACAGAACTTATTACTAAAGGAACAGTTCTGGCTGAGGCTGTGGCTCAGTGGTTGAGGGCCTGCCTAGCATGTATGAGACACTGAGTTCGATTCTCAGCACTACATATAAATAAATGAATAAAATAAAGGTCCATACATCTAAAAAAATATTTTAAAAAAGAGAAAGTTCTGTGGGGAACAGTGGTGCATGCCTGTCATCCACCTACTTCGTTAAGCAGGAGAGTCACTTAAGCCCAGGAGTTCAGGAGCTGCCTGGGCAATGTAGTAAGACTGTCTCAATTAAAAATAATAATTTAATTAAATAAAAATACAATTCACCATGCAAGCCTTTTTCCCAGAGCACATGAATGTCATAGACTTCTACCAAACAAAGTATTATTCTCAGAAATGCCAAATGTTCACATTCTTCTCTTTATGTTCCAATGTGTAGTCCTGGCTGTATTCATGATTTAGAGCAGTATTCATAAAAGTTGTAGTTGAGCAATGTTTCATAAGATGAATTCTTATAACTCTTTTATTTGTATGTTTATAGTTCTAGATAAAACCCATAGCACCATACCAGTCCTTTACAGTGCTCTATGGCACTAGTTCTCAAAGAATAGTCTGAGAACTCCTGGGGTTTCCTGAATCCTTCTAGCAGGTCTGAGAACTCTCTGGAAATGTCAAACCCATTTTTCTAATAAGAACTGAGGTAATTTGCCCTTTTCACACTAATCCTCTCAAGAGTGTACAATGGAGTTTTCCAGAAGCTACTTGATGTGTGATGTCACCACTGCTCTGATGACTGATAAAGCATGTGCTTTGGTGTTTGTTTTGTTTTGTTTCCTGGTGCTGGGGATGGAACTCAGGACCTCGAAAATGCTAGCAAGCACTCTACCTCTGAGCTACGTTCCCAGCCCTCGTGTTGTGTTTTAAAAGTAATCAGGTTGACTTTCTAGTATGGTAAATATTGATAATCATAATTTACATAACAAAACTCCTTGTGTTTCTCAATAACTTTTAAGGCATTCTGACTTCAAAAAGTTTGAGTGCTCACTTCAGTAGCCACATACTACAGTTGGAGCAATACAGAGAAGATCAGCATGACCCTTGTGCAAGGATAACACATGTTTGTGAAGCGTTCCATGTTAAAAAAAATAAAAATAAAAAAGTTGGAGAGCTACTGATCTATAGGTACAGTTATTCCCTTAAGAATTTTTCTTTTTCTTTCTTTCTTTCTTTTTTTTTTTTTTTAAATACTGGGGATTGAACTTGGGCTCTACCACTAAGCTACACCCCTAATCCTTTTAATTTTTATTTAGCGATAGTGTCTTGCTAAGTTGCTTAAGATCTTGTTAAGTTGCTGAGGCTGGCCTCGAACTTGTAATCCTGCTGCCTCTGCCTCCTGAGTCACTGAGATTACAGTCATGTGCCTGACTTGCTCTAAGAAACTTTCATGATGAAAGGAATAGCAGTTTAGGGGCTGGGTTGTGGCTCAGTGGTAGAGTGCTCACCTAGCATGTATGAGGCACTGGGTTTGATTCTCAGCATCAAATAAATGTAAAAGATTGTGTCCACCTAAAACTAAAAAATAAATATTTTAAAAAAAGAAATAGCAGTTTATGGAATGAAATAAAAACACTGTAATTTTTGTGTGTGTGACACAATAATTTATCATATGCTATCCCATTAGTGTATTTTACATGATACATAAAATCAATGGTTTAATTCTACATCCAACTATTGCTTCAAAAATTATGTTGATAATAATTTGAAATTCATTTAAAAAATCGAGACTTATGACTCGAGAAAGATTGTCTAATTTGGCTTGACTGTCAACAGAATTTAAATTGTATAAAAATATTGATTATGTACACGTGGGAAAAATAAGAATTCATACCCCATTTGAACAAATGAATGATATATGATATGTCAAGATCATTGTAATGTTTTGAGCAACCAATAAAAAAAAATATATTGATTATGGGGCTGGGGTTGTGGCTCAGTGGTAGAGCACTCAGTTCGATCCTCAGCACCACATAAAGATAAATAAAGGTATAAAGGTATTGTGTCCATCTACAACTAAAAATATTTTTTTAAATATTGATTATAATTATATAATTGATAATTTTGTAACAAAAGCAAGAAAAATAATTTTATCGAATATGCAAGCATGTAGTAGTTTTCAAATTATGTATACATTTATTGTTCAACTGAATATTTCCAGCGCATCATGTAAATAAAGATTAGTCTTTTGATGTTTTGCCACCTCTCAGCTATATAAAAACTATAACAACTTTATACATTTAAAAAAATTTTAGTTTGTAGATGGACACAATATATTTACTTATTTATTTATTTATATTTTTATGTGGTGTTGAGGTTCAAACCCAATGCCCCACGCATGCTAGGCAAACGCTCTGCCACTGAGCCACAACCCCAGCCCCAACTTTATACATTTTTAAGTTTTGTCAATATAAAAGTATGTTGTCAAGGTAGGCATATAGGACTTATTTTAGTTAATATTTTGTTTGTATAATTGATAATGCTTTAAATGTGTAGTCACATAGTAGGAGAACTTGCCGGGTCCTACAGGAGTTAAGCTGGGCCTGGTACTGTGCATAGGGTCATCATTTCTCACAGAAGTAGGCAAGAGTTTGTAGAATGTTCAGATCCCAAGTAGGCTACCTCTTACTCAAGCTGGGAGTTCTGCCACCCCAGAGAGAGAGGAAGATACAAATCAAGAGCTCAGCTAGAGTCATGGTGCTCACTGTCTTTCCCGGGGCTCTAAAATTGTCTGAGAAATGTGAAAATTCACCACCTGGACACATGGGAACCCCTTGGAGCACACAATGTAGGCAAACACTTCCCATTTGTAGAGACCAGGGCAGGGACCTTCCACGGAAACACCTCCCATCCTGCAGCATCGCCACGTAGGGTCTGAAGTCCTGGGTGAGAAGGAAGAGCAAAGCCTCTTGCTCAGGCAGGATGATCCTCAGGGGTGGTTGACCCAAATCCTGGCAGGAGGTTAAAGGCTGAGGCCGTGACTAGCTCCGAGAAGCCCCAGGCCTGAGGTTTCCTGTGGCTTAGCAGGTGTGGTCCCTGAAGTTTGGCTTGCCCTGTCAGTTTCCCAGCCCAGGTTGTCCATCAAGCCAGGAAATCTGGGTCAGAGGACTTGCCCAGACATCAGCTCTCTTTCTAGAAATTGCCCAGAAGAAGAGCAAGATGGAGAGTGGAGAGTAGAGGGCACAGAGTAACAGTCCCTGGGAAGCCAGCTTGTGTCTACGTCACAGGAAGGCATGCAGAGGAAGCCCCATCCCACTCATGTTTCCAGCTTGACCTCACTGTCTACATCTTACTCTTTTCCCTCCTGGCACAGAAGGATGGGAAAAGTGGGGAAAGAGTGATCGCATCAACCTCTGCTGGCTCCTCTGCCCCACAAGGAGTATGGGAACATGCCTCAGCAGAGGGTCACAAGGACAGAGAGAGCCATGACTATGGACCCTCTTTCTCCTCCTTACCAGTTACTACTAATGAGCAGCCCACACTGGGTACTGCACACGGGTCAAAAGTTGATGCCATTCCCTAACCTCCAGGCGTCACAGGGCCCAGAGACTTGGAGAACATGTGCTGTCCCCACCCACTGTGAAACTCCAAAATATTTGGGAACTGATTGGACCAAGAAGAGGCCCAAGACGGAAGGGTGGAGGAAAAGGCAGAGTGGTTGTGCTGGGCCTAACCCTGAGAGTGCTGGGTAATGGTGGGGCTTGGGTGTGGTGAGGCTCGGCCCGAGGCTGAGTCCATACCCTATTGCTAATTCAGTTCTCATGGACAGCTACAACCTACCAGAACTTATTCCAAGAAAATGTGTCCCTTTCCTCCTAATGTATACAATGTTTTCAGCCAATTTATTGAACACCTATTGCATACTGGCTCAGAGCCTGCTTCCAGGATCTCAGAGACGAATACAACTATTTTTTTTTTTTTTTTAAGAGTACTGGGGATTGAACCCAGGTGCGCTCAGCCACTGAGCTACATCCCCATCCCCTTTTATTTTTTAATTTTCAGACAGGGTCTCACTAAGTTGTTGAAACTGGCCTCAAACTTGTGATCCTCCTGCTTCGGCCTCCTGAGTAGCTGGGATATAGGCATGTGTCCCCTGACCCCCTATGCCCAAATCCAGTTCTAAGGAGCTTACAATAAAGTGTGAGAGTCACATGTGTACACAGATTAAGTACTAATTGCAGATTGGAGTAAGTCATTTAACTTCGAGAGGACCTGAATTTTCTCAACCATAAAACGAGGGGGTTGGGGCTGGGGTTTGTGGCTCAGCAGTGGAGTGCTCGCCTAGAGCCTGCCTGCGGGGCGCTGGGTTCGATCCTCAGCACCACATAAAAATAAATAAAATGAAGGCACTGTGTCCAACTACAAATAAAAAAATATTTAAACAAAAACAACAAAACCGAGGGGGTTGACTGTCTATAACTTTTACCTTACCTGCTTCCAAAAGATTTTGAAATAGTTTCCAAAAAAAAAAACAACCACATAATTACATAATTTTGTTAAACTAAAATTAGAAAACTAAAAAAGAAGTGAAAGGAGAGAAGCCAGCTAAAGCAAAGAGGAGAAAAAGGAAAGAGTTAAGGTGTGGTTAGACTGGGCTGAGAAGTCAGATGCCAACTATCCTATTTATGTCATTAATTGTCATGGATCACCAAATATAGTTCTGAGCTTTCTGGCAGGAGAAAAGGGAAACAGAATCGTTTATATAATTATCACTATGTGGTAAAATGAAACATTTCAGGTCTTCAGCAGAGAAAAGATTTTCTTGATAGTAAATGTTAAAGATATTATACTGTGCAGGTTCTTCATACATAAGTAACACTGATTGCCATAGTAGACAATGCCTTTGGTGGTAATTTTTCCAGGACAAATAAAGAGAGGGGTTTTTCTTCTGCCAAACATCAAGAGACTTCAAGGGTAATATTAAAATGAAACTTGCTGAAGTCATTTTTGCTGGGTTGCTTAGTTAATGTGGTTCAAATAGTTTTCTGGGGCTGGGGTTGTAGCTCAGTGGCAGAGCGCTTGCCTAGCATGTGTAAGGCACTGGGTTCGATCCTGAGCACAGCATAAAAAAACTAAACAAATAAAGGCATGCTGTCCATCTACAACTATAAAATACAAATTAAAAAATATATAGTTTTCTGGTGATTTGAGCTAATACAAAGATAGAACTCAGAATATGAGAGGATCAGCTAATAAGCAGGCTTTCATATTGCCAGTCCTGGGTATCAACAAGTGTTTTCATTTTTGCTAAACAGAAGTAAAAAAGTGATGTCAAAATTCCAGTTTTATTTTGCATTTCTAGAATAATGAGTGATATCAAACATCTTTTTGTATCTTTATTGAACATTTATGTTTCTTTTTCTGCAAACTACTTATACATATTCTTCGATTATTTTTTTAACTGCATCACTGTCCTCCTCTATTAAATGGAGATAATAATGCCTAATTTATAGAGTTAGTTACTGTAAGAATTAAATAAAATAATATATGTATACTTAAAATTGTGTCTAGCATGTAGTAAATCATCATTAAATATTAGCAATTACAATCATTAAACTCTTTTCTTATGCATTAGTATGAGTTTATTTGTAAATTAAGGAAATATCCCTTTGTTGTGTGTTTTCTGTTATTGGGGAAAAAAATTCTTTTTGTAGTGTTAGAGATGGAACCCAGTGCCTTGCTCATGGTAGGAAAATACTCTTGGAAAAACAGCCCCTTGATAAAACACTTATATGGTAGCTTTTCATATAGAAATTTTAAAATAAAATTTTTATGTGATCTTCTGTATCAATCTTTTCTTTTATGACCCCTGGTTTTTCCATCCTGATTAGAAAACTCTTCCCATTCCAAAATTATAATCTATTTGCCCACACTTCCTTGTAGAACTTACCTGGCTTTATTATACTTAACTCTTTGCTCTGGATGGAATTTGCTTTGACTTCAGTTTTATTATCCGCCCCCCCCCCGCCCCCACCCGCCAGCAAAAATCCAGGTATCCCAACACCTTCTATTGAATACTCTCTTTTTCCCATGAGTTAAATGAAAATGTCTAAATCTTCCACTAGGTTCTTCTAGCCCTTTCCTTAA